GAAAATGAAAACTTTTTCTATTTATTTTTACTACATAAAAGTTCTATGGTGAGAAAAAGTGAAATAATGGTAGCGGAAAAGAACAAACTCTTCATTTTTAAGCATCATATCTAATATTGATGTCAAAAGTGTATAAGCAAATTATTTAGAAACAAAAGTAGAAGCAAACAGGTTAAAGGGTTTAAAGTAGGTGAAGGAAAAACTAAAGAATAGGAAAGGGTGAGAGGGTGAGGCAGAGATTACTGATTATAAATAAACCATTTAGCATTATCTGACTGAAAACTAGTGCAACATATTATTTTTACAAAAATACATTTAAAAATACAGGAGCAGATAAAATTTCAAAATATGCTGAATATAATTTGAAAACATATGTTTAAATATTTCCTTCTTAAATGTAATATATTGATTCTCTCTATATACTTAAGTCAATCCGATATGTATACTATTAACATTGTTGTCTATACCAGTTAACAATCATAAATCAGTGTGGCAGACACAGTAAAAGACAACTTAGTGAGTTTAAGATTAATTGCAGTTAATTGCAGTGGCAAACAATTTTATTGTAAAAGCTGTTTTTGTAGAAATGAGAATTTGGAGTCATGTGCATGGATAACTTGGTTAAGATACTAGATGCAGCTTTCTGGCAATATTTGCAGCTTGAATTACAAAAATCTCCATTTTTGGGGGAATGTCCAAAAATGTGGATTAATAACTACATGGATTATAGACATGAATTTGCTACTTAAAACTGTTATGCTGTCGCTGTGGCTGGGTGGCTCAGGTTGTTGGAGCATTGTTCCATGCACTAAAACGTTTCAGGTTCTTGATCAATATTTCTCTCTCTCTCTCTTTCTCTTCTTTTCTAAAATCAATTTAAAAAATACCCTCAGATGAGGATTAAAAAAAAAAAAATGTGATCCCTTAGTGAATTAATACTATTCTATTCTCTTTTAGCCTAGGTGCAGCACTGAAATTAGAAGAGGGGAAGAGATGAAAAAGCATTTGTGGGGAAAAAAGGAAATCAGTCAGGAAAGAAAGATGGATATGGAGAAAGACTGCAACTTGATTGCTCTATTACTAATACACTGAGTAGTAAAGAAATTATTGTTGTGTCAGTAAGCCAGAAGATGCCAGGCCATGTCCCAGGAGAAAAAGAGTATTCAGAAGACTGTAAGTTCCAAAATAGCAATCTTCATGAAGAGCAAAGCAGTTTTAGATAACAAATAACTACCAGATGTGGAGTTCCAATTCTGATCTAATGCTGGTTTTCTGAAAAAAGGAAATTAAAGTATCATATAGAATTTATAAGTTATAAAGAACTACTTGATATTTATGATATTCATTGTATTCCCATTAACTGACAGATTTCGAAACGTGTCTACAGGGTTTTAGCAGTGATTAAATTTGTGTCTGTTATAAGCATTATTAAAGCACAGGAGAGGAATGTGTACAATTACTGTGAGCAACTAAAATAATTAGGCAGTTTATAGAAGAAAAGTACAAGGGCCCTAGCAGGTTTGGCTCAGCAATAGGGCATCGGCCCATGTACCAATGAGTCTTGGGTTCAATTGCGGCTAAGGGCAGGTACCTGGTTGTGGTTTGTCCCTGGCCCTGGGTGGGGTTCAGCGGGAGGCAGCCAGTCCATGTGTCCCTCTCAAGTTGATGTTTCTCTCTCTCTCCCTTTCTCTCTCTCCCACTCTATCTGAAGATAAACAAAAAAATATCCTCAGGTGAGGATTAAAAGAAAAAAAAAAAAAAGAAAGAGAAGTATAAGGATATTAAAGTAATAGCTTTGCAGTTGACTCCCCATTACATACTTAGTACTGAATAACTTGGGAAAGATGACAGCTTTGTAAATGTGAAACTACATTTTATAAAAGTAAAAGTAAATTTTAAAGAATTAAAAAAGATGCATTTAGAGATATTTGTTCAGCAATTAAAATTCTTTAATATTCTCATTAATAAGGTAGATGAATTCTGTGATATTGCTGTTTTTTACAATTTGAAAATAACTATTGCACAAGCAGGTTTCAATAAAAGGCTACTTCATATTTATGTATGTGACAAAGATAACATGCTTCTTGTAAATTAGTTAATGTATAGGGGTGCATTTAAAAAAAAGGCTAATAGCCTGGCTGGTGTGGATCAGAGGTTTGAGCATTGTCCCATGCACCAAGAGGTCACTAGTTCCATTCCCAGTCAGGGAACAAGCCTGGGTTTCAGGCTCGATCCCCACTAGGGGGAGCATAGGAGGCAGCTGATTGATTCTCTCATCAATGTTTCTCTCTCCCTCTCCCTTTGTTTGTCAAAAATCAATTTAAACAAAAAAATTTTTAAAAAAGGCTAATATTCTCCTCTGCCCCGGTCAGTATCACCACTGTCAGTAATCTTATTTATTTAAAGATTTTTTTCACTGATTTTTACAGAGAGAGAGAGAGAGAGAGGGTGGGGGGAACAAACATCGATATGAGAGCAAAACATTGATTAGCTGCCTCCTGCACGCCCCTGAGATCAAGCCAGCAACCCAGGTATGTGTCCTGATCGGGAATCCAACAGGCAACTCAACCCTTCAGTGCACAGGACGACATCCAGCCAACTGAGCCTCACCAGCCAGGGCAGTATATCTTAACATACAGTGTGTGTTGATTACTTCATACAAATGTAGTGTAATTATATAGCATTCTTTTTTCTCAAAAGTGAGAAAATCGTTTTTTGGTGGGGTTTTTTGTTTGTTGTTTTTATCCTCACCATAGCCCCAGGATATGTTTTTATTTTTAGATTTTTAGAGGGAGAGAGTGAGTGAACAATGTGAGAGAGATACAATCTATTGCCTCTCTTATGCTCCCCAAATGGGGATAGAACCTGCAATCTAGGTATGTGCCCTGACTGGGAATTGAGAATGCAGCCTTTTGGTACACAGGATAATGCTCCAACCAAATGAGCCACCTGGCCAGGGTACACTATGTAATATTTAAAACAAATCTTTTCTGACTCATAGGCTTCATAATATGGATGTGTCATAATTTTGGATAATTCTCCTTTAGCTGGACATTCATAACATTTAATATTACAGTATTACAATAATCTTCCTTTTACATATATATTTACATATTGGCGATTTTATTCTATAGAATATATTCATAAAAGTTGAATTTGCTAGCCCTGGCCAGTTTGGCTCAGTGGTTGGAACGTTGGCCTGCGGACCAGAGAGTCCTGGGTTCAGTTCCTGCTAGGGGCACGTACCAAAAAAAAAAAAAAAAAAGTTGAATTTGCTAGATTAAGAATGATGCATAAAATTATTGCTATTGAATAAGTACTACATGAGCATGCTAAGAAAAAATTCAGAGGAAAAAGGCACATAAAAACAAGTTTTCCATTACATTGTTTTATATTTCCTTCTATGCTTAAACAAACAGAAAAGTTCGGAGAGTCTGTCAGTTAAATGTATTAACAGCTCAGAAGGCTGGATTATGATAATCATTAGTTAATGTATGATTAGGTACTAGACAATATTCAGTAAAACTCGATTTACCATGTGTATTGAATTAAAAATATGTGGTTCTTGTTTTACAGGCATTTAATAGATCAATTCCATTGCTTAATAGACTTTAATCTGGAAATTAGTATTTTATAGATTACATAGACTACAGATTTTCAAAAAATATGTAGATAGTTTAATCTGCAAATTTTCAATTTTAATGTTTTTTTTTTTTTGTTTTTTTTTACAAAATAAGACTGAGAAGCAAGATGAAACCAGTGATAACTATTTGGCTGATAACTAGTCTCATGGGAATGTTTAAGGAGTTGCTTAGAAAAAAAACAATGTGTACCCCTCCCTACATATTATCATAATGAATCATCATTAGAATTAAAGGGATTATTTATTTTCTCTGATGTGTCCCCACTGGCTATAGTAGTATGATAGGGTTTCAATAAATACTAGTTGATTGCATATTATTGAAATTTAACCAAGAACTCCAAGACATGGGCTTTTAAATTATCTGATTCCAACATTTAAATGAGAGCTAAGAAGCATTCACTCTAAATATGCATATAAAAAAATTAAAATCATGTAACATTGGAGAAAAGTCATGCCATACATATCAATTGTATCTTGTCATAAGTTAGTTCTATTCCATTTTTCAGTTTTTAGATTTTACAGGGCTAGGTTAACTTGTCTGATTCTGGGAGCATCTTTGCACCATGACATACCATATTGCAGGTGTATAATACAAGTCAATTTACACAGAAAAAAAAAGGAACTGTTATGAAACCTAAAGGCACATACATTCAGTTGGTTTACATTTAATAAAGATTATCATGAGATTCTTTAGGAAAAATGAAGACAGGTTTCTGATGGTTTGGAGATATTAAACTGCAAGCAGAAGTATTGGCTGATAATACTTAAGGCCCTTTCTACAATTTTGATTCCAGGAAAAATACGTTAATTACTTTATAAATTTCTTAACTTTTTTCAAATGGAAGTATATAGAATTATACAAATACAAGTGAATAGTCCTTAAAACTATGTAACACTACTAAAAGGCAATTTTCAACTCTGATTTGTTTGTTTCTGCATCCAGTATCAAATAAGGACATAACAAATCTTTCAAATACTCAATACAACATGAGATGCAAATTAAGTCCATCTTTGATAATTGGTGCTTCTAAAAATAGAAAATTAAAATGTTTCCATTTAAATGCATTGATTAAGCTTATTTAAATATTACCCATATATTTGGAGAAAAGGACTATATCTATGATGTGATTCTGACTTGACAGAATACATGCTATTATATTAGGCATAAGGACAAATAATTCTACAGATATGTAACAGAAAAATAAAACTCAATTAGTAAAATTCTGTTGATCTTTTGGAATTATGTTATTCACTTACAAAACAAAATGTGTTTTCAAAACTTCTGAAACAAAATTCTCTTTGAAATTTATTTCTAAAAGACAAAACTTTAAAAGGGACATTTGTACTAATACATGCATAAGCAAAAATAAAATAAGCACGGGAATACAAAAATGAACATAGTAAAATTTTAATGAATACAGTATTCTGGATACAAGTGGAATACCACTAGGTAAGACCTCAGAAGTCTATGATAGTATGGATTCAGATAAACCAAAGTTTAAGATAGCCACTTTACTCTTCACATTTTAATCAGTGCTGAACAGATACTAAAGCAATTTATTTTAGGCTAAGATTTTCAATGAAATTAGAGAACACATCTTCTATTTAATAGAGGTGATATGTACTCATTTAAAAGCAGTTGGGGCAAGTCAAACCACGGAGAGCCCTTACAAAGACTAAGCACCAAAGGAATTTTCTGTGGCTTTCATTATGGGCCACCTTAAATTTATTTTGTTTAAATGTATTTTCCATTAACATTCACATACAAATTCTTTCAGGCAAAAGTTTTAACATGGAACTTTCTGCTTAGAGATCTTGCCAGCTGTTACTTACAATAGGTTTTAAGTAATAAATACTTCAGAACAATCCCAAACCAATGCTTAATTGGTTACAATTCCTAGATGCAGAACTTTTTCTTCAAAGTTTTCTGGTCCCTGAAGATTCAGTAGGGCCAAATGCATTAACTGGAAGTAGCATTTGTTTAAAAAAGAAAGTCTAACCCCAAAATGATAATGACTAAAATAAGTATTTAGGCTCTCATACACAATCATTCTCAATTTTCACCCTGTAAGAAATCATTACAATGTTCTTCAATGTTGCTATATGCCCCAAAGAATCAAAAGAAACCAACAAGGAATTTAACATTCAACTAGCTAGGAACTATTTACTGTAAGCATAAAGTGAAATACTGGAAGACACACTACTATACTTCAAGAAAACACTATTAACAGGTAAGCATGGTGTTGAAGGCAGTTTATAAATGAAACATTACAAATCTTATGTTTATGTATACAACTTATAAAATAGAAAACGCTATTTTCCCAAATAGGATAGCATCACACTAACACTATATAGTTAAGACTGAAAGCTTCTGTACACATGTCCACTACACCTCCACAGCAGTATATGCCCCTTAGATATTCTCATTTGTTATCTAACATATACCATGGTTTCACAGATTTGTATGTCTGAGTAGGCTAAAACAATCATTCTGCTTTATCTATTCAACTATGAGACAAAGTTAACCAGATTCAGGGAACGAAAAGTTTTATAGTCAAATAAACACATCAAACCTCCACAAGATGAAAAACGCTTCTTAGGAAGATATAATCCTAGCTGGATGGATTATGCTCCCACATATTGTATATGTGGGAATACTTTGGAGTCTGGTGAAATACATTAAGATATATGAGACCTAAATGATGATCAAATCTGTAATAAATACTAGAAACTCAAATGTGAATTATTGGTGTTTTTCCAGTGGAACGTCATCCAGTTTATGGCTTAGGACTACTCAAAGTTGTTCTGCCACTAAAGGTTTGCTGTCAGTACAAATTAATATCCAAATAGGGAGCAGTCTGAATCAAATGGAATTTTGAATATTAGAATGATTGCATATCTAACCTTATTTTTGTCTTCTGAAAATAGTGCTGTAAGACAGTTATTTTCCCAGCTTCTTAGACTTTCTACCATCATAGATAATTGAAATTAAACATGGTTGCCTGCAAATTCTTTACCAGAGGAAGTAAAAGCAAAGTACACTTTGGTTATGTTTTGCTGCTGGTCTCCTCATGTATGTGCTTTATTGATGAGAGCACTACTCTAGGCATTTATTGTGCTACTTTAATATAACTGAACATGAGGAAATTCGTAGTTGAAATTTTGATAAGTGATTTTTTTTTGATGGCAGGCTTCTTTAAAATTATCCTCCCAACCCCCAAACCAACATCAAATATATCATCAGATGGACACTTTGACAACCTGAACTAGGATATTAAGTCTGTAAAAGAAACTTAGGCATTGAAAGCTATTCCTGAAAAATATAAAATCTAACCTTGTTCTTATTCACTTTGGCTTTTCTTTTTTAAATGAAGATCTGTAGTAAAATAACATTAAAAGATAACTCCCGTTGTAACATAGGGCATAATTTGTCAGTGCTCTGTAACAGAAATATATTTTATAAGTATTTTCATTTAAATGCTTTCAAAGAATTTAAAATTATTTTTAAAGCTCTACTCCAAGTTTTCAGCTGTTTAATTTTTTAAAAATATAATCTGGGTCTCTGATAACCTTAAAGGATAGTGAGGTTCAGACAGAGGTCATTTCCTGAACATGGTTGACCTCTAACAGTACTGATTATTTCCTCACCCATTCATACAGGATATTGCCAGATCTCCACTGCAAAAATCTTGCCAGTATTTTTAGACAACTGTTTACCATCCATTTAAAAACTTTGTACTATCAGAGGCAAAGCACATAAAAGTGAAAGTAATCTTGTTTCTAGTCTACTTATCCTAACTATACTCTTATAAAACCATATGGAAAATTAAATGTATAGAAAGTAATTTCTTATTTTCTGATCTGTCAGCCAAAAAAAAATCACTAATTTTCTATAAAAACAGAAAACTCAGTAATAAAGTGTCTACCTGTTTAAATTAAAATGACAATCCTGAAGTATTTTAATATGAAGACATTTAAAAAAAAGCTTACAGACAAGATGATGCTTGAAATGAAAGCTATGGTTCAAAAATGTGTGTTTACGGTAAGAGACTAAAACTGTGTCACTGCAAAATTCCCTATGGCTTTTGGCACTGACATTAAAAGATTTTAGTCTTTTGGTCACTTGAAGCTGCTACTAAATATAACAAGAAGCTTTTATAAAGGGGGAAAAAGAAAGTGAGGAACTGAAGGACAGTTAACTACATCATATACAAGTAAAGCATAGTTTGAAATAAACAGTCATTTTCTGTTAGGGATCTGAATATACAAGAACAATTTACCACCATCACTTCCATTTTGAGGAGGATCCTCTAATCAGAAAGAATTCCTTTAAGTTACCGAGTGGTGTTGCCTGGCAGCAGCTTCAATTTCCTAGTCTAGTCTTCAATCCAAGTAATTAAGTACTCTCACAAGGAATAATCATACATGGCAATAAGGTAAAAAGCAGGGCAGTTCTTCCATGCACAAACATTTCAGGAGAAAAACCTTCAATTTTAAAGATAACCATCAGGTTTAAGGTATTCTAGCACACTCTAAACCCTAAGTTTTGTTTTACACCATTGGTAACTAAAATTAACAGTAAGTTTTACAGTGAGGTTTATGTTTTTGTTTTTGCCTGCAACTATATACACATTGAAAAACTATTCTGCATCACATGATTTTAAATGAAATAAATATAAAAATGAACCATACAATCAATACATAACTCTAACACTCCACATTATTTATCTTGATCACAATGGTGGTAACCTCCTGGTCAACAATCTTGTGAGTTGAGGAGCTGATTCTCATTCTCATACCCATCAGGCAGATATGCTCTCCTCAGCTGGTCTGACTTAGGTATGGAGCCTCCATTCTTCACATGGCGAGACAGGAAAGCACGGACAGCTGGGTGATCAGCCTTCTCAAGTGGGATGTTGGCTTCCAGGCACATTTTCACAAAGTCCTGGATAACACTGACTTTCTCTGTTTGTGCAGTACTGTTGCACTGAAGGGATGCAGTTAGGGGCCTTTGCTTCTTTCTCACATTCTGCTCTTCAAATTCTGCCTTCCTCTTGGTATGAGTCTTTGACTTGAGGTGGTCACTAATGGCAGACTTGCGAACATGATTCAGAACCACATTGCAAGAAGTGCAGAAGAGTTTTCCTCCATCTTCATGCAGCTCACCTCCAAACTCAGTGACTCGATCCAGGGGAGTCACGTACAAAGCAGTCTTAGACCGGTTTCGAGCAGGTGGTGCTGTCACTACAAATCTTTCCATCGTGACTTTAAATAAAGTTCTTTCAAGACAAGAGACAAGACAAGTTGTTATAACAACAGTTCCTTCAGGAGGTAATTAACAATAAAACTACAAATATTTTTAAAATTAAAGATTTCAGAAAATTTAAATTAGTAGACTGTGTATCCATTACTAGTAACAACTACATCCATTCCTTGAATTTGATGAAATTCAAATACATTAGAACTATGAAAAAAAGAAATGCACTTATCTTAGATGTCACTATCTTTTAGAAAAACCTAATCACAGTTTAAGGTATTATATTAATTTCATCCCATTTAGATATGCATTCAAGTTTAAAAGAGCTTCTTTTCCTTCACACTTCTGGGGCAACTAATTTTAGGAACACAACCAAAATTTGTTCAAACCGGTGGATAGCTAAACTGGCATAATTCTATATGAAAATAAATACAATTTCCACAACTGCTCAGAGAAAAAAAGTAAAAACCACGAAAGTAGACCAAACACAATTAACCTCAAAAACAGTATTATTAAATTTTAAAGCCAAAAACAGAACTCAAAGTCAGTCATTTTTTTTTTTATCCTCACCCGAGGATATTTTTTCCATTTTTTGTTCAGATAGAGTGGGAGGGAGAGAGAGGAAGAGAGAGAGAAACATTGATGTGAAAGGGACACATCGAGTGGCTGCCACCTGCACGACCCAACCAGGGCCGGGGACAAACTGCAACCGAGGTACGTGCCCTTAGCGGAAACCGAACCTGGGTCTCTCTGGACCGCAGGCTAACCGCTGAGCCAAACCGGCCAGGGCAAAGTAAGTCATTTTTTAATGCATATATAAAACTCTACTAAGTTTTCCAAAAGGTGGTGATCAAGATATAGTGTTTTTTCTAATACTTTTTTCCTTTTTTTCATTAAAGACTAATATTTACACTTGTTAATATTTATTTCATTAACAAGTAAGTTAGAACAAATCTAAACTTATTAACATAGTGCCTAGTATATGATAGATGTTCAAGCACAATTTGTTGATGGAATAAATGATTACCTTCACTATTTTTCCAAATATTTAACTCAGAAGCAGCGTAATAATTTCTAAATTTATCCTAATAACTTGTATGATCATTGCCAAAACCATGGGCAATGAAAACTTGAGATATTGAACAAATGTTGAGGCGACCATTTGTTCCATGGGGTCATGTCTTTGGGTTAAGCTTACATTAACCTAGAGATAAGAAATTACTGTGAACTTGATAAAATTCAAGATGGAATTCCATTCTGTATAAATATGATAGAGACAAATTCTTTGTGTGCTCTGAAGAATTATGCTTTGTAAGTGTAATCAGAAACAATGGTGCTAATCCATACTAGTGAGTTCATGGCTGAGAAATATGAAGTCTCTCTCAAAAGAACTTTAAATTGTCAATGTATTAGACACCTATGGACATAAACCGAGAGAACGACTTACTATTTCACTGAAGTTCTGGAAGGTATAATAAAATTTAGGTTTTAATAAGCTTAATTCATTTTTTTTCTATTAAAAAGTGTTTAATATATGGCTTTCATGTACCAAATATTGTGCTTGACCATAGGTTTACAATGGCAAATAAGGCAGATATGAGTCCTGCCTAATAAACAACAAATTAACATTATATGTCTGTACTTTGAGTTAATGATTTTATATTCCTATAGCAAATCAGTCCCAATTATTAATGGCTCTAAACTAGTTATAAACATTACATAATTGTGCCCAGTAATGCCTAAATCTTTTTAAGTGAAAAGTTTTCTGTCTTTAAATAGTTGAATTTCAATCTTTAAAAAACATGTTCTTTATTCTCTGAGGCAAAAAATGCTCAACTGCTCGTGATAATGTTCAAGTCCTATACATTCCTATGTCCTGTAACCTTCAAAAGTCTGTCTGTGTTACTGCAGAGGCAAATTATCTACCCAACAGAGGATGCTGCGTTTACAGACCCCAAGAACAAAAGTGTTTTCAAAACAAGATAAAGATATTTTAAACGCGGAAGTTAAAAACACCAGGAATTAGCCAACAAAAGAGAAGCAGCAAATCACTTACTAGAGCAAAATAAAAGTAATCAGTTTTCAAGTTTAAGTGTTTACCGGATTAATTTCCAGTTTTTTCCGTCTTGATCCTTAGCAGTAGAGGGTCCCCAGCGCAAAACCAGACATGCATAAAATCCGGGCACTCCCGTTTGTTCACACCGGAGACGCTTTCAAATCAGTTTTTCAACAAGTGGTGGTGGGAAAGTAGTTTCTGGGCTTGCATCCTGTTTTCCCTGCGGTGCTGGGAAGTCATGCCTTTACTGTAAGACACGAAAACAAATGGAAAGAAAAAAGGGGGTAGGGAGAAAAAGGATGAAAATGTGAACAAGAACATCAACAACTGCCACCATGCAGTGTCTTTAAAACCGCTCCCTTTAGGAAACTCGACACCACAAATCCAGATCCCAACGTTTACCCCAACACTCCTGAACCCACTCCCATTACAGTTGTCCGCCCCGTTTTTGCACCTCCTCGCGCGCCCCAGGCCCGTGGGTTTCCGAGACCGAGGGAAAGGCGGGGCGCGGGACGTTCTCGCAGCCTGGACTTCCTGCTCCCGCGCCAACCCTAGCAAGGCGACGCCCCACCACCCCGGCCCCACTAGCAGGGCAAGGCCGAGTCCCAGCTGCCGGCCGTGGGCCCGGCAACTCTACAGCCGAGTTGGCGGCAGTCTCAGGGGTGGAGGCGGTAGGCGCCTGACGGGGCGGCCGCTGTCAGGCTTCCCGTCTCCTCCCTCTTCCTCCCGCCAACAACGACGCCCCGGCTCCGCCCCCGGCTCCCGCTTCTGGAAGGAAGGCCCCGGGCCCAAAGCCTGCACCAACGGCCGGGCCCACCCTCGGCCTCCCTAGCTTCTCGTTACCGTAGGATCCGGGCGGCCCCTAGAGGAAGTGGACGAGACCCGGCCGTAAAGGAAAGGAGGAGGAAGAGAAAAAGGAGCAAGGGGGTGAGGGAGGAGCAGGACTCGTCGTCGCTGCGCCGCCGCCGTTGCCCGGTCGAGCCCCGCGGCGGCCGCCGTGTCCCCCACCGCGCCCCGTCCTCCTGCACCGCCTTGGCAAAGCTCGTAGGCGGTTCCCAGCAACCGCCGAGCAGCAGTGACCAATTGACAGCGGGTTTATCGAACAGACGGCTGACTTGACCAATGGTAGTGGGAAGGCGGGAATGTTCATGATTGGCGGTTAGGTTTCTCCAATGAAAGCTGGGGGCGTGGGTGGGCGGAGCCGGAAGTAGAGCCAGACGAGAGGCCCCTGTCGGCCTGGGGCAGGGAGAAGGGGGAGGGAACTAGAGGAGGAGGAGGTTAGCCGAGGCTGCTACGGCGGCGGCGGCGCAGGGGCTGGTACGCGCTGGGCTGCGAGAGCCTCATGGCGGAAGAAGAGAGCGACCAAGAGGCCGAACGCCTCGGAGAAGAGCTCGTGGCCATTGTGGAGTCCCCGCCGGGCCCTGTGGGGCTTAGAGTTGCGGGCGGCCGCAACGACGGCACTGGCGGCAGCAGCTGCGGTGGCGGCGTCGTCGGGATCAGCAGTCGGGATTACTGCCGACGCTTCTGTCAGGTGAGGCGCCTGTCGGCCGCTCGGACTTGTCACCCGGGTTGTGGGCCTCCCTGCGTCTCCTGGCCTTCTCGTCCTCGAATCAGGGCTGTGTCCAGAGCTCACTCCACCAGCCCAACAAGGAGAGTGAGGGTGAAGCTCCCCCTCCACCTATCCGGCTTGGGGTGGGGGGCGGGGGAGCGGAACGGGGATGACCCGTGGGTTTAGGGTTGCTGAGAAAGTGGGAGTTTGTCGCGGGTAGCGGGGCTGGAAAGGAGGGTCAGCTGGCAGGAAAGCTCTGTGGTACTGACATGCCTCCCCTTCCCCAAACAGACCCCTTTCTGCCCGAGGGTCCCGCCTTCTTGTTTGCTACCCCGTTCCTTCTCACTTCATTTGGAATCTCGAGCAACATTTCCTGCCTTCCTTTCTACGCTCCTTGTCCCCCATGGTCTCCCTTTTTTCGGAGATCAGAGGCATGCCTTGTCTCTACCTCTCCCTCTCCTGTCATCTTCACCCCTCCCCCTCTCCTAGGGTCTCCTGTCATCCCCTCACGAGACCCCACTGGGTCAAATCTGTTGATTTAGGCGCTGACAGCGGTGATTAAATTACTTTTTGGGGAGGTGGGGTTGAGATAATGTAATTGTCATCTTTCATTTCTTACATCTTTTCCTCGACCGAACAGTGACAGCAAATTATTTACTTGGTCCACTGTCACTACGATTTGAGGTAGTTGAAAGCATTTGACCATAATCAAATATAGCACCAAAGTATTTGTCTAGGGGTAAGAGTTGTGTAATCTGCATTCACATCTACATATACTTATAAACATGTTGCTTCATTCACAACAATCTTGTTTTGCAACCTGTTTTGGAAAAAAGTTTTACTCTCAAAAATTTGTGTATTATCTTGGATGTATAGAGTTCAAATCTTGGTTCCACCACTTCCTAGTTGTTACCTTGGGCAACTTATTTAACCTCTCTGTCCCTTAGTTTTTTCTTCTGTCAAATAGGGCTAGGAATTAAATGAGTGAATATGTGAAGGGTTTGGATCCTTTACATATTAATGAAAGCTAGCTATTTCATTCTGTTAACAAGTAGGAAATAAAGTTAACAGGAAGGAAGCATCATATTTGATGAAATTTGATTTTTACGCCCTCCCAAAAATTGAAAGGAAAAGGATGGAGTTGAAATTTTTAGGTAAATTTTTAATACTTTAAACTGTCTTTTGATTTTTTTTTTCATTCCTTGCTACCATAAATAAATTGGCTTGAAGGTGGAAATTGTCTTGGTATAAAAGGCATGTATTTTTTCTTTCCTTTGTTTTTTTTTTATCCTCACCAAAGGATATTTTTCCATTTTTTGTGAGATAGAATGGGAGGGAGAGAGAGGGGGAGAGAGAGAAACATTGATGTGAAAGGGACACATCAGGTGGCCACCTCCTGCATGACCCAACCGGGGCCGGGGACAAACTGCAACCCGAGGTACATGCCCTTAGCAGGAACCGAACCCAGGTTTCTTTGGACCTCAGGCGGACGCTCTAACCGCTGAACCAAACAGGCCAGGGCGGCATGTATTTTTTCTTTGGTATTGCTCTCTATTTAGTGACTATTGAAAATACATTTTTGTTTATTTATATATTTATTTTGGTATTGTCAGTCACTGGATTTAGAGGTTCGGTGTCTTTACAGTACTTCTAACCATGTTTTACATCTATAAACCATATTATTGGTAGAAAGTATCTACAGGAATTTTAAACTTCTGAACATTAGGTAATACTTGATTTTTAATATATGTATTCGTAGGCTGAAAGTCATTTTGTTTTTTTTAACTTGTGTTTTACCTTTGATATCATTAATGACCAAGTTGGTTTTAACTTTAATTTACTTGATCAAATAACCCTTAAGTCTTGAAATTGCATTGAAATTTTATTTGAGGGTCAGAATATTTTGGGAGAGCCTTTAACTACTCTTATTCTGTTCCTTGAAGTCAGTTTTAAGAACAGATGAATAAATTTAGCTTATGAAAGATAGTGTCTGAACTGTGACAGTAAATTATTTTAAGAACAAATGAAGTTGACTATTTTCAAAAACTCCACTACCATCTAAATATACAAGGAAATAAAACTAAACAGGAAGAACTGAACAAACTTGCTTTTATACTGCAAAATTATGTATTAAGTTATATTGACATACTTTTATGCTACCAACTTCTACCTGAAACCTCATTACATATTTTTTAAAATAATTTTTCTTTATTGATTTTGGAGAGGAAGGGAGAGGGAGAGAGAGATAGAAACATCGATGAGAGAGAACATCTATTGGCCGTTTCCTGCATGCCTCCTGCTGGGGATTTGGCCCACAACGTGGGCATGTGCCCTGACCAGGAATCGAACTGGCGACCTCTTGGTGCATGGGACCATGCTCAACCACTGAGCTATACTGGCTGGGCTCATTACATATTTTAAAATATTCTAGATTAGCAATAGATCTGTTCTTAGGGCTCCTGTCCTGGTTTCACCCTACAGGTGAGCTTTGTGAAATTCTTTTTTGTATTAAAACTTTTAAGATAGAATAAAAGATGACCTGTATTGAGTTGAGTTTTATGAATTGATGAATAAATTCTAACAGTATAGTAGTTCTGTTATAGTTGCCAGTAAGGGAAGAAGTGGTTATGTAATTTAATTCCCAAAGATTTTTCTTTTTTTTTTCTCTTTAACATGTGGTTTCCTAATATTTACTAAGGGTAAGATAATATTAAATAACTTGCACTGATTAGTAAATGACTTAATTGTGAGTAATCCATAAAATGAATAATACGCTCTTGGGTGGGTGACAGTTAATGAAATATATGACTTATACACACAGTCTTGTGCACTGAAAAGAAAGGCTCCAATTTATCTTTCTCTTTTTAGAGAGAAATCTGAATAAAAATTTCTTGGCAGTTAGTTGTGTGGGTGAAGGGAGAAAGGAGGGTTCTTGAAGAGAGGTTCTGTGTCTTTTGCTACAAGGAAAAATAGAATGAGACAATAGATAATATAAATGATAAATTTTGCATCCATTAAATGCATTTGAGGATATGCTTCTCTATTTGAGAAACTACCAGTAATTATAAAATCTCAATCTAAGGGAATAGTCCGGTAGTCTTAAGCTGATTTTTGTGATGATGAATCCTGGAGATTTTAAGTGCTGATTTCCAAATAGGTACATGGTGTAATGTCCACTAACTGCCCCTGTCACATCCTTCCTTGACTCCTATTAGTGGACTTTCAACATTTGCTGAAATAGAATTGGCTCTTAACTGATATTTAATTTATTTTGAGTATGAAAGGGAAATTAATTGTTATTGCAGTCCTACTAACTTTTAAGGCTTTGAGAAAGGTCCTGTTATACAAGTTTCATAGCTGAAAATGAGGCCTGAACAAATTTACTTGTCTTCATCTCTGGTAGGTGGACCAGCTGGGATTTGAACCCAGACTTCCATTTCCACTGAGAGGAAGATTAAAATTACAAACACATTTTCAAATGATTATAAAATGAATTGTTTATGGCAAGTTGTGAAAAGGAAAAAATAGTTACTGGATGTACTCAGGGAATCATGGATGACAAAATTGAAAAGTACTCTTACATTAGGCCACAGTATTAAAAAATATTTCAAGAAACAGTCTGATTATTATTTTCCTGACTTATTGGTTGCTTTGAACATTTCCTTCATTCCTGAAGATTGTAATAATTCAACTTATTATTTTGCTAGATATATTGAAATGTTTTGATCATAAATTGTAAACTAGGCAAGTTAAGGTACTTTTTAGTTCAGTGCTAGAATAACTGCAGTGAATGATAAGTATTTCTAGAAACACTGTGATATGTTGATTAAAAGACTTTACAATTGTTTCTCACTAAAATGGGGTTAATAGTCATCCCATGAGGATGTCATGAGTATAACATGAGAGAATGACCATGAAGTGTACTATACCTAGTACTATACCTAGCAGGGAGATAGGCTTAAATAGATAGAGGCTATTAATATTTCTCATGTGAATTCCTTTGAAGGTTTAAGAGGGACATTAGAGCTAATCTAATCTGCAGGTCACTTATAGTTTGTTATCCCATAACTTAGAAATGCCACAATTCTAAAATTCTGTTATTTAACTAGAAAAGCTAAATGCTCCTGATAAAGCACTAAATGATATGCAATAGCAACTACATTTTCTCAGAGATTGTTTCCTGCATGGGACATTTGCGTTATCTGGAGATATTTTTGATTGTCCTAATTGGGGTAAGTTGGTACTTGCTTCTAATGGGTAGAGGGTAGAGGGATGCTTGAACATCTAGTCAAACCTTGGTTCTTGTATGTGTCCCATCTAGAACAGTAGGTTTTTGACCAAGTTCACAGAAAAAATGTTTCAGTTGTCAAACAAAACTTTGGCTCTTGATAGACAATGCTTTCATGTTGATACCTTTATGATCAGTAATATTTCTCTGGTGACAAAAGAGAGAATATGCAAATACAAGTCAGTTTATCACTAAACCTCGTTATGTTAAACTTCAGGAAATTGTGCTTTGAATATTTTCATGTTTTTTTGTTTTTGTTGCTGCTTATTATTATTAAATACATGCAGTAAGTAGTAAGTCACCATGGATCCCAAGATTAGTGATAGCAGCAAAATGAAAAGGAAAGTTGTGAAAACAATAATAGAGCTTAAAAAAGAAATAATTGCAAAGTATGATAGAAGTGTTCATGTGTCTGATCTGGCCACCAGGTAATGCATGGCAAAATAGATGATTTTTAAAACATAAAAGGCCATCGAGAGTGCTGATGTTGCTAAGGTGTGAAAGTGCTCATGAAACAATGATCACAGGCACTTGAGAGAGGTTAATATGGAATCATTTGGGGTCTGGAGTGGATTAATTCAATTTACATTATTTCTAATGGGAAAAATGATTCAGTTTTCAAACAAACTGCTTATTGAACAGCCTTCTGGAGTGAATTAAGTTCATTTTAAACAATTCCTGCTATTTGGAACTA